TTAAATTTTAAACATTATGACGATTGTTCTGATTTTACTGTCACTCCCTCTTAATGTTTTAAACTTTAAGATTAAAATTATTCAGTTAAAAGAGATATCAATTTTAAAAAAGTCAGTTGCGATACTTGGAAAGTTGCCACTTCATTTTTTTCCCTTGCTTCTTCCTAGTAAGCCTTGATCAAGGCCAGTTATTCACATTCATCAAGGAAATTAAATTTACAACAAATCAGCGGCGGATTTCCCTATAAATGTTGCGAGCTGCCGGTTAGGATCATGTCTACTGACGAATTCGAGACAAGTTGCATAAACGTCTCTCTTTCGTTGATCGCGCTACTGTGGATGACGTGAAAGGATGTGCAGTCCTGTATTTCTCGAATATAATTACTTGAGGTCTGTTGCAGCAATAGGGCAATATATACCTTCTGAAACTTATAAAATGACCCTGTTAGAATTTACTTATATTTTATCTAATATTTTAAATGTACTTTTATTTTTAATAACACAGTCATAACTATTTTATTTCATATATATATAATAGTCATAACTATTATGACTTGTAGTTATTGTAGTTATTCTATTCAGATTTCTTCTGAAAATAACTGTAAAAGTTTTAGCGAAAAAAATAAATATCTTTATTTATCCTTCTATGTAAAGTAGTTGCTCTTTTCACTTGAATGTGATGAAATTAACTCTAACATTTGAGGTATTTAAATAAAAAACATTTTCGTTACAAATTTTACCTCTGTCCTAGAAATAAAATGCAAATACATAATAGTAAAAACACGAGTTTGATGATATTGCTATGAAAGAAATTTTTCTTTCAGTTTTAATAAAGATATCTTACTCAGCTAGTAACAGAAACAAAATGTTAATTCATATTCATTAAAGTTATAAGCAGTCATATAGCTAAAAAAAAATCTTAGTAACTAAAATGGGGATCGCACGTTCAAAACCCACAAATCTTGAAAAAGAGTCGAGATAGAAAAATCTAATCTTCGCGACTTTTTCACCATTAGAATCTTTTGAATGTTAACTTAAATAAACTTTAAAAATGTTAAATGTTAACTTTTGTAAAAATTCATTATATTAACTTTCATATTGAAGAGTTCTTTAAGAAATAACACGATGTTTGCAGTTTCATTTGTATCTCGCTAATGAATGCATTTTTACATACCATCTTTAGTTTTCCTTCATCTTAACGTGTAAAATGGTCCTCTCTCTCCTTTACGCTTACCTGAAAAGATTCGAAAATTGTAAAAGATTTGGGCTGTTACTCAAATAGTTTTTATCAAATTATGCTGAAATAATGAAAATCCGAATTCGAAAGTTTTAATTATGTAGGCTCTTCTTTCATTAAATTTTATTTGCATCTTAATAAATATAAGTTAAAATCTGTATTTTAAGTTCTTTTTTAGTGAACGCAGACTCCAAATTTTGCTTTAAGTAGGATCTTTCAAGCAAAAGCTTTTCGTTACTATTATTATTGTTTATTTTTATCCCCAAAGGGATTATTAGTCTCTAAATGGTATTTTGCTTCCAAACATTATAAATGAGTCGTTTCACTTTTCATTCGAGTCTGTTGTCATTCGGCAAAATGTAAACTCTTTCAAATTGAATCCGGCTGTTGTAAATTAACCAAGTAAGCTATTTGAAAGCAATAGGTACAGTTATTAAGAATATTCATTTCGTAAATTTGAATCCGTTTGATTTAAAGAATAAAAATGCATAAGTCCATGATCTATCTAATTAAAATTATTCAGTATTTTCATAAAATAACGTGATATATTTTTCATTATTTATTTCAAATTTTGTAAAACCTTAATGAATTTTTTATTAACAAATTTTTTATTAACAAACTCAACGATTTGAAAGCGAGTAATAGAAACACTATTCGGAATAAAGCATTCTTATCTCCAGCGCGCGAGACTGTCTGTCGAAAATTCTTACGATAAGCTGTTTTTAAATATATTGTGACATTGCTGTTGAATCGAATTTTATATGACGTAAGTCCGAAGAACGTCATAACTATAAACATAACTTCTAAACATAAAGTTAACATACATTTTATGCTTTTAAAATTGTTTTGATTTTGCTGTTGAATTGCATACGGCGTAAGTGCAGAGAAAACGATGCTTAGTAATAAAGCTAAAAATACAGACAAAAAATGTGTTAGCAGGAGGAGTGCAACACAGAGAGGGGTCGGCTGCGAGCTCAGCGAAGGCCCAAAAGGTCTTTAACAAACTAACAAAGCCTTTTGGGCGACTTATAAAATCGGAAAACTTTCAGATTTTTTTATTTTTTATTATTAGTATTATCATACAAAAGATTTCAGAGTATTGAGATTTTTTTAGGATCCTGATTTAAGTAAGTTTAAAATTTATTCCATCTCTACTTTTCTCTCTTTTGAAGTATGAAGTGTTGTGACAAATACAAACTCCTTTTAGTTGAACATTATTTCTACTTACAATTTGTTATCTTTAATGATACAGACAACAAACATTAAATGAATTTTATTTGCCAAAATTCAGATCTATTTTAGCGGATGTAATAAAAATTTGCATCAGTAACTCCAATTATCTCCAGTTTTTTTTTTTTTTTAATTTGTTTTCTTCATCGCGTTATTCCTCTTCCCAAATGTTTAATCTCGAGATCCGCAGGCATACAGCTGTCATTTATCGTGACCACATCTACATAAATCTGCTGTGAAGGAAAAAAAAGATGAGAAGGTAGAGTCTTAGAAGGAAAAAATATAATAATAATTAAAATTAATTAAAATAATAAAAGTTACAACAAAAAATTAATAGTTATAAATTAATTAACAATTTAAAATAAATATTTAAAATCATTCAGCAAAACAAAAACTTCAAAATATTTCGCGCCAAAAGTTGTCTTGGGAACATATTTCCGGATCGCATAATTCGTAAGGATGCATTGATGTCGTAACTAAGGAAGGGGCTTCTAGAACGGATCAAGGGATTTGCAATACTAATTTCCATTGTGTGTCGTAACCTTTCCCGCACTCAAAGCAAGAAATTGAAAATACTTTGTCATGCACTTTCCTCTACAAAATGATAGAAACATCATGAATTACTTATGAAAATTTCCAGGGCCAAAATTTGGTCAAATATAAGTAATTGTAAAGATTCTATCATCTGGTTAAAAATTTAAAAGGAGTACAATTACATGGTAGATACTGCAGATAGCTTTGAAAAGATTGCAAAACAAATTATAAACAACAAGCTTTCAACGATTCAACATCAGAAGAGCAGTAGAAGCTGATTGATCTGTACTCGAAGTACCAGTGTGCACTTGAGAATTATGCTTCCTGATCGCGACCGATAATTTGAGAATTACTGTTTTAAAAGAAAATGCGTGTTTTAAGTGGAAAATTAATAATTTCAGAATATCGCAAATCTTGGTCTTCATGGAATACGTATTATATCAGCTACAAACGCGTTGCGTTAGACGTCTGAAGGCTTGTTTATAAGAAATCATCGCATTCCTCCCTGCTTGCTGTCGTAGTATAAATTAGTAGCACGTCCAGCTGGCAGTTGATAAGATCCGTCATTCGAGTTCCGGTAACAGCACTGTTAATTTTTCCCGTTACTTAGTCTAAAATAACTAATGGCTCTACAGATTAACTGCTCAAAAGGGAAGCATCAAAGATTCTAACAAATAAAAAACATTTTCTAGAATATCCTATGTAAAGTTTTCCCATTTTATGAGGTTATTAATGTCTCAGAGATGGTTGAGCTTCTGCTGTTGAGTATTGTCAATATTAGAAGACATGTTATGAGTGGCGATTTCAGAATCAATATATCAGTTTCAGAAGAAGGTTATGAAATCTTTTGATTTAAATGTTTCGGAACTAGAGTTTTACAGTTAAATTGTATTAGATACTGATTTTAAGCATGCCATTCTGCAGAAAAAATTATATTAGTGTTATTTTTAATATCCATTGATCTAATTTCAGCCAAACCAAAACCATGAAATTTATCAGAGGCAAGGTTTTGTGCTTGTCTCTGGTCTAAGCGTTAGGCGCCTTATTGGTGACTGAGTTTATCTACAGTTTTGAAGACCCCTCCAGCAATGGATCCGAGGATGTCTTACCCCCTTCCCTTACCACGAACCTTTCGAGAGGACTGCCGGCTATGACAAGTTCCATCAAATTTAATATGTTCACTGCATTTGAAAAGAAATGACGATTGTATGATTTGAAACCGGTTTTCACCTGAAGATATTTAAATTCAGAAGGCATGTAATTCTTGAAACGTAGAATATTTTAATTAAGCAAAAGCAGCGTACAGCATCGAATTCTAACTAAAGGATTTCCTTTTCTTCATTATCTCTTGTTATAGAAGTTATGAGGTTATTAGTATTTAAATAAACCAGTTATAATGATGTAGACCTTTACTACAACTTCTCGTTTTCGTTCCTCATCAGACTGCAAATCAGTTTCAGAATATTTAAGCTGAGATTTTCAGATCGTGAGACAGAGAGTGTTTCTGCCTTTCGAAGCCACGTTATTTTGTTCTGCCAGTTATGATCGATTAGAAATATTTGATTTCGAGGTTACAGTGGCTGCCATTTAAAGTGTTACGCTTGTGAGAAGTTCTAAGTCAACTTAAATTTAAAATTAATTGTGTAGTCAATGACTGCTAGTCTACATTTTAAATTTCGAATTTGACTGTTACTTTAAGTTGCATCGCCACAAGTGGCGGCTGATTATGTGACCACCAGACGTGCATTTTATGTTTAAGTTCTGAGTTAAATAAAAAGATTTGTTTTAAACTTTTTTAAGACTCTGTAGTTCATTTTTGGACAGCGATAATTCGCTTAACATATGTTAGGAGTTTGTTTATGCTCCCAAAGAAAGTCAAACTCTGTAAAGTTGTAAGGCTACAATTTGATAAAGATTTTACAAATGACAATATTCAAATTATACATGTTGGTAGTACTTTATTTTCTAAAGGAATTTTTATTATTATTATCATTATTAGGTGACTAATCAAAATTGCGATCGGATCTTTCAACGCCCCGAGTTCGAGATCCGCAGCGTCAACTTCCCACTGCCGTATCCTAACGGCTTGAATTGCCGTTACCTGGTCCGCAAGGCTTCGGATGATATATGTTGGGTGAAGCTGGTTTTCCTGAGATTTGATCTGGAACCTAGCGACGATTGCCACTTCGACTACTTGAGCATCAATGGCAGAAGGATATGCGGAACGTTACCGGATGACGACATAAGTGAGTCTTCACTGATATTTGATGATCTACGATTTTTTTTTGAAATTATTAACATACAAAATACAGAAATGTTTCAAGCAATTGATATAAGGCATTTACTTAACTTTTGTCAGTGTCATTATCAACTTAAAGCGTCTTAACTTTTTAAATAACTATACTATAAACGCATCATAAAATCAGTTTAATAAGTTATCAAATTGAAAAATACTCAAATATTCTTAAAACTGAAAGCAAAATTCACAGTGTCCAGCGAGAATCTCAGAAGTTTCCCACATTCCCAAAATTTGTATAAATCAGACTTCGTAATGTCCTCATAGACGCCATGAAATAACCTCAACGAGGTAATACAAGATTTCTTTAGTTTGGTTGTCATTTGTAATAGATTTGTATGCCAAAGACGAATCTGAAAATAATCATAATAAAATCTTCATAATAAAGTAATAATAAAATCTTCTATAAAAACCTGGTCTGGTACTCATAAGTTTATATATAGTCATGTGTTATGATAAAGGCTACTTAGAGCAAATCACTAATTAACTCTGGCCTACCAGCTAACGAGAGGTAAGATAGCTGAACACTGATGGTTGATCCCGGGTTCAATCCCCGATGAAAGGGTTGTCTGCAAGGGACTTTTCCCGTGTAAGAACGTGAAACCATGTGGTTTTTCGCATGTATAACATGAAATACGAGCCAGTTTTCCTTATAAAGCGTCCCCCACGAAGGTATCCTTCTACATAGGCAGATGGATCCACTTTGCTTTGTCAAAATTAAATAATGGAATCCAGTTTTTAATTTTGAAAAATAAATAACGAAACATGTTTTACAATTGCACCTTATAATAGATATTTGTGATCGGCGTTGACCAGTCACCCGCTGTTTGATATGTCTGCAGTCGAAACAACATACTAAATAGCTTGAACGAAAGTTTGATTCTGTCATATACACTTAGTCCCAGGTTCTTGCCACAAGCTAACCCAGCAACGCATTCATTAAGAAAATTAGTCTTTTTACACGTAATACAGCTAAGATTTAATATATTCCTTTGAGAGCTTAATGTTCTGGTGAAAGAGGCCCGACCCTCCCGGATTGTTTGCTTCTCGAAGAGGCATCGAAATTATTTATAACAAACTCATATAGGAAGTTCATTTCTTTATTTGCCAGAATAAACTAGTAGACGCGTTCTACACCATCCACCATTTTCTGATCATCGCACTTTCTTCTCTTCTCCTTCCTTCTCCTCTCAGGCTTCCATTATGCTTTCCACATCAGACCAAATCTATGGCTGCTGCTTCTTCATGCTAGGGCACTGATTGGTCTAAAACACAGCTCTAAGAAATATCCAAGAATCGCACAGACTTTCACTGTAACATCCAAGACTTTCCCTTTAACACTAGATTTGTTTTGGATTTCTATGAGCTGCTACTATGGGCTTGACGTCTTTTGGATAATTACATTTTGGGAAATAATAGACCGCAACTGGGTCTTGTACTTTAACTCAAGCTTTCCAACGTGAGTTTTTATATATATGAGAGAAATGAATTCGTCTTTTTCTTATTATTATCCTATATCGTTATTGTAATGTATATAGAGACCCGTGGAGTCAAACTTGTGTTTGGGTCATATACCTATGGTATCTCCTTAGGGACAGACTTGCGGTTACTTGATAACAGATTGAAACTGCATTATATATCATTCCAATTTTTGATCAAGAGAAACAACCAAGGCATTGACCGATTTCATATGCTATTGATTTTTATAAATAAGATGATCTCAAACATTCATGCTTTACCCAGCATTTACAGTTAAGTCTACATTGTGATAGCCATCTCCACTTATCGTAGTATAGGGGTCATATTACCTTGAAGTGTTGTAGTTCAGTGGTCTCAAACTCAAATTACATATGGGCCGAATGCACGAGTTGAAAGTAGCTTACACGTCACACTTTTTTTAATGAAATGAGAGCGAATTTATATATATATGTATGTAGATGTATGTGTGAGCTCGCATTTGTATATATTACATCGTATATACCTCTAAAGTATCGATATCACCCCTTACAAACTGATGTTACGAGTGATGCCATATAACTTTATAATCTTTGCGAAAATTCTATTCTTTAAACATAATTTCCATTGAACATTTTTTAATAAAAATTTTATTCCAATAATATTTAATTGTTTTTCTTGCAACGTGTTTCTCGGTATTTGGTTTTCATTTTTTAAACAACTTTTTATTTGTTTTCCTAGATAAAATTAGGAGGCTCTTTTCTTCGGTTAAATTTCTTTTCATACTTATTTAGGTGCGTAATCTCTTTCATAAATTTATCAAAGCATAATAAAAAAGTAATAATGGTAATAACGCAAAGAGAAAAATTCAAATTTATATTTATTTTCTGTCTGAAATCTAAATTTTGGTACCTGCAAGAAATTTCTCTTGGTTACACTAGGCAATTCAAATAAATTGGCAGCTGGAATGTTAAATTTTCAAACTGCCATTTATTTTAAATAATTCTAATATGTTGAATTGACCACTAATTAACTTCCTTAAACTAAAAATAAATCATTTTTACGAAAACTTCCCAAATATACAAAGAAAACTTTCGAAGAGGGTCAAAATGGGAGAATAAATAAAGACAACCCTTTTTCTCTGATTTATTACATTTTTCTTCAATATATGTAGTTTTTTTCTATATGTAGTTTTTTTTTTGTTGAAGAAAACATATGTACACAATTTACAACTTCATGGTAGAAGAGAAATACATTAAAATATCAAATTAGCCCAGCAATAACCTTGCGCTTGACTTCGAGTTTTGTCAAGATTCCATAGATTTCGAAGGCAAACAGGTACAGGTCCTCTTTATCAGGGACAAAAAAAATCTGCCGAGGATTTTGAAGATTATTTTTCTGTACTTGCCCTCGAAATAACTAGTCTTGACCAAAATCTACGCCAAACACAAGGTTGTTGCTGGGCTAATTTTAAGTTTAAAACCTTCTTTATTTCCTATTGCAAATCCACAGTTGGTACGATGAGATTTCTATTCTGATAAAGTTTTACCTTTGGAGAAAATATCTTCATCACGGATTGTAGATGCTCATTAAGGAATCGGGTTATTTTCTCAAAGTTACTAACTTTCAACTGCGAAAAAACTGTTCACATTATAAATGTACTCAAAAACAAAGCGATTATTTTTGTTGCAGAAGTTTGTAACTGAGAGTACTTATCTTCTGTCAAGTACGAATAAAAATTTTTCAAATCTATATCTTGAGTCCTTAAATAAGATCTGTTCACACTGATAAGTTTGTACTACAATGGTATTTCCTTTTTTTAGATTTTCTGGTGTGCTACTCACATCCATTTTAATCGTAATGAAAATAATATAAAACTAGACTATAAATCATTCAAATCAACGCATCTTTCTCCAAATTCTTGTATCAATAATGCTATTTTTATTCCATAATTTTCAAACTTTACATTTGAAATAATATCTAGAATATGAGATGTGGGAAATGAACGAAATATTTTGTTATAAACTGTGTTCCCTTTAATTGAAATTTAACTTTGAAAGGTTTAATACAAGCATACATATCAAAGATAAGTTTAATTCTTTTCTTGCAGCTAAATGCCCGGTTCATTCAGCAAGGAAGTCTAAATCTATTATCAGTATATGATTATATCGCTCTTCGTTGATTTTATCAATTTATTTTTGTGTCATGAAGATTTGATTTCATTCATTAAATCACAAAACTGTTTCATACAGCTCCTCGAGAAGATTGCCTTACTTCGTTATGCTAAATAATATCTCAGTACTCACTTTTCACTTTCCTTAAGCAATGCAGCGAGCGATGTGAATCAGATCTCGTACTCGGATAGAGATTACTAGTTTCATTATTATTTCAATAACGTTATCCAGGAGGACACTTTTGTTATCGTATTCACAACAAATATGCAATTAAAATGCACTCGCGGGCTGTACAAAATTGCTTCGGGGACCGCCAGTTTGAGACGACTGTTTTAGATGACCTTCTCTTGTGGCAAAAAAACCACTGAGTGCTTTAACGTCAATTACTTAACCGGATCTAAAATATCCTTTTAAGATACGAACTTTGGTTTTATTCCTTTGGTTTTTTTTAAACGTGGAACATATTCCAATACATTTAAAATAAAATCTTAAGAGCAACTTTAACGACATTTATTACCTTAATTACATTTATTTTTATAACTCTTGGTCATTGCTCATTCGTATAAATTTATCATGAGATTTATGGCACAAAGTTTAATAGCTTTAATAACTTTGGGTGTTCACTTCCTTGAATCAAAATGCTTTGCAGTTTCAATACTCACTTCGTAGATATAATGACATTTGCCGACTGCTTTGGCATATTAATTAACCAAACAACTAATACTAGAGATATAATAAATATATTTATCATGAAAAACATAATAACATTTATTTTTTCCATATATAATGTAAATATAAGTTTATAAATAAAAATTCTTTATGACAGGTACAATCAGTTTTTCCAGCGAAGACAACTGTCTTAAATTTACAATGAATATTATAAAGTTTTAATATAAATCAAAAAGTTTTTGCGATCTATCACATCAAATTTTAAATTGAATAGCTTGTGAGATTTATCTATTTATTTTAAACTAATAGTTAGTTTTAAGTTTATTTTCCTATCACTTTGTTTTCACTCACGCTTTTCATTCCAAAATGTAAATAGGATAGCGAGCATTTATTCAGGTTGAGGTAGAAAGAAGTGCTATTTAGGCAAGTATTTCGGAAGTTAGTGTTAGAGCGTGTCTGCCTATTCCAGGCCACGTTGTGCTGTGATTATTAGCTATTCGATTCTCTGACGCAGGAGTGCTTCTAGCCATTTCGCTTGTCTCGCCGGTTTTCCTGAAAACCAGAGCCTTTCTTGCTCGTTAAATTATTTTCTGATCCGTTAGACTAATCTACCACATTTGAATCTGTTCTACGTTACGTATCTCTGTTAAGCCAAAAGTGCTTGGCTTGTGTAAACACAATTTGGGTAATTGTTAACCTTGTGTTCGAATAAAAAGGCTATTTACACCCTTCTTCCGACTTTGTCCGTCTGTAGTTTAAGACAAGAGGATTATTCTTCTGCAGTCTTTCTAGAGTCTTCACCCTTATATCCTACCAAAGAAGGTGAGACTCTACAGGCCTTTATGTTTGGTAACATTATGTCAGTAAATATGTTAGCAATATATTTTTCCTCTCAGTAAATATGTCTTTTTAAGTATTGAAGACATTAAGATTAATAAGAAATACAGAAAACTTTCTTCAAGCAAAGAATAAAAATGATGTAAATAATAATTTTTCACCTGATTAATGAACCAAAGTTTCGTTTAAATGTTTTGTGATAAGAACTAATATTTAAAGAATGAACTAACAAATGCAATGCGACATCCTTGCAAAGCTTCCGTAAAATTAAGCATTCGTTTTGTCTAAAATTTCTTTTATAGCCAAATCGTTTGAAAAACCAGAATTTGAATTGTGTAAAGAATTTTTGAATTATGTAAAGAGCTGCTATTTAACCTCGTTTAATACTTTCATTTTCTTATCTAGGAGCTTATCTCTTCAATTCCGAAGAGATTTCAATGTACTTCCGATCCGACGGAGCTAATGCGCACAGGGGATTTTTAATCAGAGGTGAACAACTTAAATGCAAGCCTAAAGGACCCTCTCCAGTTGCCAGTAAGTGAAATTACCTGTTGTTTTATTCCTTTTTATGTCCAGTAAATAATTAAGTATAATGAATAACATTTTGCTGTTTACTAAACATTTATTCAGTTATTCATATATCACTGATGTAGCGAATAAGGAATATTACCGACTGAAAGCTTTCAAAAAGTACTGCAGGAGTTACATAATTGTCACCGTGAATGTGTCTTGACATTCTGAGATTCTTTATTTCATACAAGAATGAGTCCGATCACCATTTTCCTTCGTCAGCAAGGAACATCATTGAATGTTTTTGATTGCAACTCTAATCTCAACGGATTTATTCTGATAAGGAATCCATTGTTTGTAACAATCACGATCGACATGGACTGCCTTCTGGAGGCATGTTGATCGATCTGAATCAAAGCTGTAGCCGGTTGTCTTTGATTGATACCGGCTAATTTCCAGCATTAGCATTTTCATGCTTTTCCTGTAAATCAAATCGTAAGCGTCTTGATTTTCAGGAAAAGCATGGAATAAGAAAAAGGTTAGAAAATGTCTCTTAAGCCAGTCGAGGAACATTATATTGAAAAAGAAAAATTTTGCTTACATTACTCTGCAAATTAAACTTTCAGCATAATTACAGAATAGGCATTCATTATTTTCAGTGAAGTTAAACCACAAACTTTTCAACGTGCCAATCCACGTATCTAAACATGTTAAAAAGTGAAAGGAATGAGAGCAAAAATGAAATTTTTTTCATATCTCGAAAGTAAAGTCGAGAGTCTTGGATTAGAAAAAAAAGGAATATTTCAGATAGGATGATACTTGTTTACAATAATAAATCTAAAATTGAATGTCTAGCATGTGGCAACCGATCAGTAAGCGATAAAACTAGTGAACTTTAGATAACATGTTATTGTCGTTGCATAATTTTGCCGAGTTAGCGTAATTCTTTCACATTTATAATGCTGCAACAATTCTGTTTAAGTTATCTCTTCTTTGTTTTATTTGTTTCCGTTTTGGTTTCTCTTTTTGGAGCAGAGCATTTTGCTGATTAGAAAACAGAAGATTTTTTTTAAATGTTGCTAAAGAAATGTGATGATATTAAAACACAGCCACATAAATTAATGAAATATTTTTTCTGACGTTTTACGTTGAAATGTTATACTTCAGAATTATTCCTCATGATAAAAAGAATAAATGAAAGCTAATTTTAGAAACAGTTAAATGGTATTAATTTGTGTGATTTCAAATTAAGAGATTCAATAAGATCATTTTAAAGAATAAACAACTGCCTTTTCTTCTTCAATGGAAAATTATACTGCTGAAGATATACATAAATTGTTCTGAAAATGCGCTCAACGTTTTCATTTAAAGTACAAGTTAAAATAATTCCGATTTTCTTTGTATTTCAAAATTTATATTGATGTTTATTGTTTGTATCTAATACATAAAATTTCGCGCATTGTATCTACCAAGTTTAATTAAGAACAGAAAGGTGGTGATTGTTTGTAGCATTTACTACAGTATATAATACGGACAATACAGACATCAGTAAACTTTGAGAATAATGTCCTCCCCCTGGTGAGATGCACTGTTTGAGGCAATGTGGTAAGGGTTCCATAATGCGTCTCAACATGTCTAGTGGAATAGTGTCGAAGTAGAGTCATACTTGTATTTGTCTGTTCGAGCCAAATTGTATCGTGCAGTTGTCTTGCTCTCAATTCTGCCGATCTTCACTATTCCACCACAATACCCCAAGAGCATCTGTGAAACAATCTGTTTAAATGAAGGCTTCCTATCCCCAACTGCACCGGCCAGCGATCCCATGGTACATTAATTGCTTGACTTCTGTGTGGCTACGAATGTATGTATACCACACATGCAAGTGTGTATCCTGACAAGTTTGGAAGTAACCATAAACTATGCAATAAAACATATCCGATTGGTAGATACCTTTCAAGCAATTAATCATGTCGGACTTTAATGTTTCTTGATATTTGTTAATTAAAGAAGAGATAAGCCTACCATGATGAAAGGTTTTTGATAACGACAGCTCTCACTAATTGAAAAATCCACAAAACAGTTTCGTTCCCGGATAATGAATCGCATATAAATACATTAAATGCGATGATCATTTGTGAATGCACATGAATATAGTCACACCAAGTTTCTCTTACTATCCGTTTCATCAGGATCGCGTGTGAAAAATAGTCTGTGCGTAAAAGAAGGTAATGAGCAGAAAGCCGATAGGTAAAAACATTTTCTAGTATCATATTACAGCTGAAGAACTTTATGCCCTACTGATCAGAAATACGAGGAAGCAAAGAAGACAGTTTTTGGTGTTGAAAGAAGAATACAAAGTGTTAATGCGTACTGCAACTATTAAAACTTTCTAAATAAATGGCAATTAAACTGATTCTGCATTTCCATTGCGAAAAATTTTTTAATTAAAAATTGGTAAGAGGTTCACATCACAGCCAAGCATTATCATCCCAACGAGCTGAGATGAACAGAGTACAGGATCTGTTAACGCCAGTGCCATGCTTTGCTTCAGGAACATCTCAAAAAGAGGCAGACTCAGGTGTCCCCTAAAATAGCCTCCTTTTCATGATCTTTCTAAAATTAAAGGTAAATTCTAAGAAGGTTAAAAAGTCAAGCTATAAGAAGGTCAAGGTCTTCCGAGTCTATTGTCCTCAGTGGAAGACTGGAATGACTGAGACTAAATTGAACTTAAACATTCAAAGACTCTGAAATACATAATGTATGTAAATGTTTTTATAACTAATAAATTGTTAAATTATTGGAATTTGCAACAATGATGGCGTTTTTAATACTCTATGAAATTTCTTACAATTTTTAGCTACTTTGTAGGGTTTCCCTTATTTTGCATAACAAATTATTTTAAGCTTATCTAAACCTCTCATTCTCTTCTAAACCTCTCATTTTCCCCTCTCAATTCCTCGCCAGGATGCAAATTTAAAGTTAAATGAAGAGAAAGTATAAAAACAGACGAAACTCAAACTTTATATTCAGAGCGTGATTTCGCTAGCCAGTGCACGTTACTTATATTGTCCTTGCTGCTGTTACGTTGAATTGCTGATACGCCTTTTGGCCATTTAATAAGTCTATCGCCGTGTAGGTTTTTGAGTCAGCCTAGTTAGCTTTAAACTAAATTGTTACTCCAACACTACTACTTATCCTTGAATTTATTGTCAAATTATTCTTAAGTTCTCACCGCAAGTCGTCGGTATTGTGAGCACGAAATACGTGCATTTATGTTAAGAGTTTGAAGAATAATAAAAGGTTAGCTTTACTCTTCTTCTGTGTTGGTATTATTCACGTCTGTGCGAGAAGTCGCCAGGTTTCCTCTTAAAATCACATTAACTGTACAATGGCAAAAAAAAAAGGTTAGATCTTACAAGTGAAATGAAAGGTTCAGCAAAGATACCAAACTTAAAATAATTTGTTATGCAAACTACGGGAACCCTACAATTTTAGATTGGACTTGGGAGCGTATCAAAATTATTTAACCGGCTGAAAACAACGTCCCGCATAGCGGAACCATTGTGGAATAGATTACGTACGTTATGGGAGGCAATAATGCAACTTTGTAAATTATCTCCTCTAAGAGAATTATTGACCTCAATACCGGCTTTCCGTTCTGAGTTGAATTAATAATTAATCTGCAATGCGGAAAAGCACAAGCCCATGTTACTTCACACGTACAAAACCGGATACGCTGTCAGCAAGTTTGGCAACATGTCTAGGAATAAAACATATGAAGGAGTTCTTCAAGTATCCATTGTAAACAATCATCGGAAAAGACAGTAAGAAAGATTACCGAAGATTAGTTATCCAAACGTGTTAAGACTTATTTGAACAAAGTTGGCAAAGATTAGCGAAAGAGAATGAAAATGTCATACAGATGTTGAAAGAGAAATTTTTCGAAATCTTCATCTCATAGGATAGATGGAATCGTACAAGTTGTAGTCGCAAGAGGTGGAACGTATCAAGAAATTCCAAAATCATTAATTAATTCTTAAAAACTCCTAATATACTTTAAGAGAAATCATCATAAATTCTCCTTTGCCTCTCCTAAATCAATAAATTATTTCTTGAATATCTAAAACTTCTTGTAATCTTTATTCCTGCAATCTTACATTTTCTCTATCCTTTTATTCTAACTCCTTTTACCTCACTCTAGGGCGTCGAATGTCTCTGGCTTTCTCTTTTGCGAATTTGTTATTCGTCTTTGTTGTTTCTGAGCCTATAAATTGAGGTTCTAATTATAAATAAGTTAGCATTTCTTCCTTTTTTTTAAATCTTTTCTGTTCAATTATTATTTTATTTTATATTTAAAGGATTATTACATGATTAAATTATAAAAAAATATATACATTCCTTCTTCTCTTCGCTTTCTTTAAAAATATAATTTAAAGTCACTTACACATACTTATGAAAATCAATTTATATTTTCTTCAAATAAATAACGTAATGTTGTAGAATGTATGGCTATGTATTTAAATACAACATCCATTATTCGAGGTAATCCTATTCCATCTGCCTTCGGAAATCAAATATATCTATTGTAATTTTTCACTAAAATATCGATACATATATAAAATTCATTTTTTACAAGATACCAAATGCAGATGAAAATTCAGTTATAATTACGTTAGTTGCATTTAATTTAATTATTATGAACAGTAGAATAAAATTTGTTATTCTATAATACACTCTTAGACAAAAAAAAAAAAAAAAAAGCGACGCACCAAGGAGTTATCCGAATGGGACGAAAATCGGTAGAAGTGATGTACATGTAGAGAAAAACAATTGATTACAGTCTGAGAAAAATTGGATAATTTATTGAAGTGATAGAGTTTCACGAAGTGGAAAAGTCAGTAACGCGTTTGTCCACTTCTGGCCCTTATGCAAGCAGTTATTCGACTTAGCATTGATTGATAGAGGTTGCGGATGCCCTCCCGAGGGATATCGTGCCAAATTCTGTCCAACTGGCGCGTTAGATCGTCAACATCCCGAGCTGGTTGGAGGGCCCTGCCCATAATGCTCCAAACGTGCTCAATAGGAGAGAGATCCGGCGACCTTGCTGGCCAAGGTAATGTTCGGAAAGCACTAATGCAAGCAGTAGAAACATGTGCAGTGTGGGCGCGGGCATTATCTTGCTGAAATGTAAGCCCAGGGGGGCGTGACATGAAGGGCAACACAACAGGCCTTAGAACTTCGTCGACGTACCGCTGTGCTGTAAGGTTGCGACGGATGACAACCAAAGGGGTCCTACTATGAAATGAAATGGCACCCCAGGCCATCACTCCTGGTTGTCGGTCTGTCTGCCGGAAGACAGTCAGGTTCGTATCACACTGCTGTCCGGGGCGTCTCCGGACTCGCCTTCGCTGGTCACCGGGGCTCAGTTCAAAGCGGGACTCATCACTGAAGACTATTCTACTCCAGTCAGTGACATTCCAAGTGCGAATGAACCCGACACCACTGCAAAGGGGCTTGACGTTGTACAGATGTCAATGGTAGTCGGCCCAAAGGGCGCCGTGAACTCACCCCCTTTCTGTGAGCCGTTTATAAATGGTCCTTGCGGTCATTGAAGCACTAGTTGCATGTACAATCGATGATAATGATGCATCTGGGGCTCTGACGATTGCTCGGTCTTCACATTCTGTCGTTCTCCAGGCCTACCGCTTCCTTTTTGACGCTTTATGCGGCCATTGTTCACACATTCCTGCCAACATCGTCTAAATAGTGGCATCGCTCCTGCTCAAATGTCGAGCTATTCGCTGATAAGGCCAACCGGCTTCTTTGGTATTGAGTCCAACTACACGACCTCTCTCAAATTCTGACATCTGCGCACCTGTATGCGAGGCATATTTACTGTCTACCAGAGTACACAGAATGAAATTAATGAAGAATTAATGACCTGGGATCGTAATGTCTGCTCTTAAATATCCTACTAGTTGCGCAGATCAGATGCGCTGTAGCGACAACCGTTCATTCATTTGCAGCAAAAAATGTAAAATTTTACATTTTCCGTCGAAACCTGTATACATATCAATTTGTGTCCAATTTGCTTTATATCTTCTTGGTCCGTCGTGGTGCGTCTTTTTTTTTTTTTTTTTTTTTTTTTTTTTTTTTTGTCTAAGAGTGTATTTCAAATGCAGATAATAATTCCGTTACATTTAGCGCAGTTACAATTAAGATTAGTTATTACCAAATCTAAAAGCATACAATGAGAAATGCCTTAGGAAAATTTCTAATAGTAACAAATATACGTATCAAAACTGTTCCAAATGAAAAACCTAAATATTTATCTAAAATTGTTATTTCTTTAATTGCAACAAATATCGGCAGTATGTGTGCGAAAAACGCGTTTTCAGCTAATCTTACTATCTATTTCTATATGAACGATCTTTGCTTCGAAATGAGATTATTTCATTATCTTAGCATTACTGCTACAGGAGATGGAGCTTTGAATATAAAATAATCTATGTATAGTTCTACAAGTTTCCAAAATTTGCAGAAAAGCGGGTGTTTTGTAGTAGAACAACAGAAACTTTTTTTTTTTTTTCATTTTGCTTACATCTACTGTATCAAATAACGTATTTGCATTACAGGTTAATTTAAATCTGTCATTTTCTTTACTTCTAGTTTAATGCATATTTCTTTATTTTGTACATCTGGGTCCAATGTGGTTCGTTAAATTAAAATAGAAATACATATTCCACTTGCTTGCTGAGAAGCTTTATATGGTCTTACAATTCAAATGCGTTTATATTATCCTAGCTTGTACACTGCGCAAAAAAAAAAGAGGCAGGTCTGTATCTCCCGTTGTACTGGGCCACATGAAAAACGCAATTTAAATTGACGAAATTCAAATTGCGTTTTTCATGTCTCGAAAGCGCGACTTAGGATATATATTAAATCTAACATAGGCATTTTGAGACAAAATCGGACTTTTTCTGAAATGACATGCCAATGCCTTCCATATTTCAATTCTACGACTCAACTTATGCCTAAATATTAAATTTTGTAAAATTTGGTGCGAAATTTACAGAGAAATTCAAAAATTTATCTTGGCATATTTTTTCAGTTTTCGCCAAGAATAATTTACTTGGCGAACTTCTTAATTTATAGCAACCTATTTTTCTTTTCTTTTTTTTTTCAATGTAGACGAGTGGAAAAAAGTCATCGATCATACATTCTAACAATTTTTTCAAAATAATTTTTAATAAGTGCGTATTATCGTTTGGCGTTATTATCGCTCAAAAAAAGATGCCAAATTTCAAAACGCGAAAATATGTAAATTCATGTATATCCTTAGAAAAGTTTGAATAAAAAACTCTAATTTTTTGTAGGTGTGCCTAGAAATACATCTGCTTTAAGATGATGTTAAAAATTATATAGGTTATAATACAAAATGTTTTTCGAAAAATTTATAACAAATATTTAAAAATAAATCATAAAAAATGTGCGAATTAGATTTGGATTAAGCCTAAATTTCGAATTCTGGGAGAAGTCAAGTAAAAAAAACGAGATATTAGTAAATATATATCAAATTCAATTAACAATGAGGAGCTAAAATTTTGAGAGCTAATGTTTTAAGACTACTCGTGCGACTTTTACAAATCTTGGCAGTTTGGCTTAGTTTGAGTCGTAGAATCGAAATATGGAAAAAATTGGCATGTCATTTCAGAAAAAAACCGATTTTGTGTCAAAATACCTATATTAGAACAATGCTATATATAAATCTAATAGATATTCCAAGTCACGCTATTGAGACATGAAAACCGCAATTTGAATTTCGTCAATCGGCCCAATAGAACGGGAGATATAGAACTGTCCCATTTTTTTTTTCCCCGCTGTGTACCATGGTTATTTTAAGGAATCCTATTAATGCATCTTTTTTATTTTAGATAAAACAATAGAAATTTGTGATCGAACATTCGATCGGGAATTCTTTGTTGTCCAGAGCCCAAATTTCCCTGACCCGTATCCTGCGAGCACCGAGTGCACCTATGTAATCCATAAGGCCAACCGGTACGTGTGTGGACTGCAACTAACCATGCTGGCCTTCGATGTCGAAAACGAAGCTTCCTGCTCCAAAGACTACTTACAAATTGGCGAAGATAAGATCTGTGGCCCTCTGCCGACGAGGACAGTTCGTAAGTCTGATTTGATTCATACGTCATTACAAATTTCTAACCTTCAATTTTTTTTTTTTTAAATTCAATTAAGTTGTATATTCATTCACTTGTCTTTCGTACGTAAGTACTTGCGGCCGTGACGTAATTCTCAAGCTTTTCTTGAGGTCGTCAACTTTATATGCTCAAGATGTAGAAGGAACCTATTTTTATCCTTACATGCCTCTAGAAACATGATCATGACTATTTAAAATTACTTAATAGTTTTAGATTTTTATTACCTTTATTTATTTACGTTTCCAAAGGATGGATGCTTACTATTTAAGCATTCATTAGAAATTATGACCGATGCCACTAGTCATTTAGATCTCAAGTATTCGGAATGCGTAGAAATGAGACGGCAAATCTTAAAATTGTCTTCCTTTAATATTTTATCCGTCATTTTCTGTTTTCTATTTATTATTACAGAACTGTCGTTTCGTGTGTAAAGAACTATAAAGTCTTAAAAAGATCTTAAAACAATCCTTTTTATTAAATCAAAACTGGAACATAAATACATATCTTGTTGCTTGACAGTTCAGCCAACCCTTGTAGCAATGTAACTTAAAGTAACAGTCAATTTTAAAATTAAAACCAAGTTTAGTAACCCAAGGCTACACAATTAATTTAACGCAAAGTTGGCTCAAAACTTCTCTCCCCGGCGTAACAATTTAAACGTCGGCAACTATAATGCAAAGCTAAAGAAAGCATCTTACTTAGCTATTAGAAACCTAGTAACGTGGCCTCGAGAAGCAGAAACACGCTCTGTCTTACAATCCGAAAATCTCACCTTAAATACTCTCGAACTAATTTACATTTTGATTGGGGGCCCACCAGCGGCCGAGAGGTAACGTCGCTAAACACTGGTAGTTCGGTCCGAGGTTCGAATCCCGCGAACGGGCTGGCTGCATGGGTGTTTTCGTGGTTTTCCCCATGTGTAACGTGTATACGAGCCAGTTTCCCTTAGAAAGTCCTCCACAAAGGCATCCCTCCCCCTTAGGCAGATAGCCCTAGTGAGCTTTGCCATAATTAAATATACACACACACATTTTGATTGGGAAACGGAAGGAGAAGTGATAGTAAAGATCTAAATCATAAAATAACTGGTTATTCAAAATAATAATGACATTACACTCTTCATTTGCAGATTTGTTTTCTGCTATCCGATGGTGTAAAGAATAAAATTATGAGGGTTTTATTTCGTTGGTTAAGCGAAGATATATGCGAAAAGACTTCGGTTTCAACAGACAATTCAAAAAATTCTAAAATTAAAATCTAAAGAAAAATCGCTTCTCCACATTGCATTGCCATTCACAAAGAGTGTGTGTACAAAGTTTGAGCTTGATAGCTTATCTGAAAATAGTTTTAAAAATCTTTGACAAACATATGTCCTTAAATCAAGAGGGAGCTAAATTAATGTTTATGAAAATGCATCTTCTCTCGAGAAACTGAAAACTGTTTTCAATTTTTTAAATGGTGTTTTGGCTATCAGAAGCTCCAGATAATTGAAATTCTATTGTATTTAAGAAAAGGAAGCCCCATTTTTCAGTTTTTAGTTCATGTTCCTTTCATTAAGCTAAGGATTCAATTGCTAGAGCAGGGAAGCTTAATTTAGTGCAACAGGTGACAAACTTTATCCTTCAGACAATGAACTGCAATCTAAAACGAGGAATGCTGTACGCACCTTTTCGGAGATAGTTTGGAGTAACGCCATATGTATACTATATTTAGCATTCTAAGTGAGTCCTTTTCATTTTTTACGGTATGCAGAAACTGGTGGCGTGATACTTTCAATGTTTGTGCGTCTTGGCTGAAATTTATGTGACGTAAATGTTACGTAAAAGGTGAGTACGGCGTAGAAAATTAACACGTAAGAAAAATAAAACGGAAGTTTTTTTTAGTCCAAAGGGACTTTGTCCCTGGAAGGACTATTGTTTTCGTTTTGCGATTTTGCGTTGTTTCACTATAAATGTTGGTTCACTTTTCAGATTTTTTTCACCAAATATTAGAGTCCTGTGTTATACTTAAAGAAATTAAATAATAAAAAAGCTGCATAAATTGAAATTTGGAATTTGTTTTTATTATCGAGTTCTTTTTTGTAAAACTTTAACGAATTTTTGATTAACAAACTCAAGGATTTCAAAACGAACAATGGCAACAGTCTACGGGGGGGAATCTTTTTATCTCCAGCGCGCGGAACTGTATATCGGAAATCCTAAAGATATGCTCATTTAAAAATTATTTTGCGACATTGCTATTGAACTGAAATTTATGGTTTAAGTTCGTAGAACATGATATTTAATAAATAGAGGTAACACACAAAACGTTAAAAAAACGCCCCTTTGGGCGTAATTTAAAATCTGAAACTTTTTTTTTTCTTTCCTTCCAAGTTAAATCTACTCAAGAAGAAAATAAAAGTACTCTTAAAATACTCTTAAGATATGCTACGGAAGTAAAAAGGAATTTGTAATCACATCCATTCTTTCAACATCATTTTCAGTATAGCTGAAAATCACAAGATAAGCTTAAAAAATACAGTTTTTTCAATACCGAGTTGACCCCAAAACGACTTCCTCCCTTTAAACGCTTTTATGAAAATTATTCTTGTCTGACTTGCGTAATGTAACATTTGAAAAATTTATTAAGACGATTTATTCATTATCTATTAAATTTACATTGAAAGACAATATAGTAGTTATGAAAAACGTCGAAGGAAACCTGCACCAATGATTAAGTGTCAAATCAGTTTACAAATCTTCTAGGAACATTTTCAAGATTTTCAGACATCGGATCTTTTGATATTTGCATTGTTTTTACATGTGGATCAATACATTTTTTCTTATCACCGTGAGGACATGTTAAACTCAGTATGTTTATAATTAGTTCTAAGCAGATTTAGTGCGCTGACAGAACGAACTTGCAACTAGGATATATTTGCTGCAAGTCTCGTGCGCAAGCGATCTATTTAAATAAATGTGTAGCTATGTCTTGAATAATAAATTCTTTTCTTTATTACTGAATACAAGTCTTTATGCTGCTATAATTTTCAACAAAAGAACATCGTGGCAAGCATTTTTCTCTCGACCGTTTGGCACTGCTGTTTTTAACAGCTCGTTTTAGAAATACGATTTCATTTTCTATACCTTGGATTCCTGGAGTATTAATTCTTAAACAAGTAAACTTATTATAATTACTTAGCTTAAAACTACCTTAATAGTTAAAATGGAATCTAAAAACTAAGATTAGACTGCATTTAAAAAAAAAAAAAAAAAACTTTTTAGATATTTTTTTAACTTTTTGAAACTTTAATAGTAACGTAAACTGTTATTATTAAAACTGTAATATTAAATTTTCAAATTGCATTATATTTTTATTTATCTAGTTATTCATTGGTTTTATTTTAAACTATGATGTCTTGACCACCAAATTATTTTTCTTCTAGAACGTTTTCATCATGCTTATATATATGAGGTCATCTTGTAATGCAAGCACTGTTCCCTATTAAAATAAAATCAAACACTCAGATTAATTTTACCTGCGAGATCAGTAGGAGGAAGAATAATATGTGCGTGTGTGAATAACATTTGTTATTATTATTCTTACTGATAATAATATTATCCTAATTTTATTATTAGTTCAAAGGGGCAATTTGCCTGAAGGACTATTAGTTTCGTTTTGGCATTTTGTGTCGATTCACTTTCTGTGTTGTTTCACTTTTCAAATTGTTGCCACCAAATATTATTGCCCTGTATTATATTTAAAGAAATTAAATAATGAAGAATCTCCATAAATGCATGTATGGTTCTCGCATTGTGATAAAACAACGGTACCTAAAGCCATGAAATTTTGAATAACGTAATCTTTCACCGAATGTGGGCATTTGATAGCCCTAATTTGGAATTTGTTTTATTATCGATTTCCTATTTTGTAAAGCATTAACGAATTTTTGATTAGCAAACTCAAGGATTTCAAAGCGAGCAATTGCAACGTTGTTCAGAACCTTTTTTATCTCCAGCGCGCGGAACTGTATATCGGAAATTCTAAATATATGCTGATTTTAAAGTTATTTTACAATATTGCTGTTAAACTGAATTTAAGTGCGAGGAACATGATATTTAATAAATAAAGGTAACACAGAAAACGTTAAAAAAACGCTCCTTTGAATGTAATTTAAAATTTGAAGTCTTTTAGATTTTTTTAATTAATAATAATTTCCTTGCTGATAATAATTTCCTTCTTGATCAATAATCATTAAAATCTTCATATTGAAAAATAAGAAACTGTCAAAATTGCATGAGCACGAATTTATCAGATTTTGCATTATTAAAAATTCACATTAAATTATAAAACATAAAATACTGCAATTATCACATTAAAGAAATCTAAACACGTTCCAGGGCTACAAATAACTTGCTCTATATATATAGCAGAGAATTATTTCAGCTGCCGTTGAAAATCATCTTAAAACCCATGATCTCATACTTTCGAACGCAGGTTATTTCTTGATTATTCTGCACTTAAAACTCGCTATAACCTTTAAGTTCCTTACAGAATTAAACCGCGCTTAAAAGGAGTTTTGCTGATTGCATTTATCCAGCGAAGAAATGTGATTGCAACAGTCATTGTAATATAAGTAACAGAATTATGTTGGTTTTGTGAACTAACACAGTAAAACCACTCAGGTTCTCAGCTCGAATTCAAGCAGCCGTACGATAAATAAGAGACACGAAAACTCGGCATTCTCAGATATCTTCCGTAGCATCTTAGCACAATAAATCAATGCCGAGTGCATTAAACCATGATCTATTCCTAAATAATTGCATTTTGAAATATTTTTGTGCAACATTTTTTATTTCACCTTTGTTTCTCTCAAATTTTGCATTCCGCCAATCTCCCTCTTCCCTCACACACAAAATGATGTCTAGAACCGTTTTTTTTTTTTTTTTTTTTTCATAATTTTTGTTCTAAGTATATATAATATATACTTAAGATAAAAAGCAATCTATTCGGGAATAAATCATCTTCGTCACTAGCATGATTGACATTTAAGCTCTTTAATGTCTACAAATACCAATTTAAAATTCATTCTTCAAACGCTTCGGACACGAATTACCTTTTTCAATTAATGCGATGAGGAAAAGGTCGGTTATAAAACATTCATAATTTTCTACTTAAAAGCTTAAAATATACAAGCTTTGAAACATTAAATGTATTTACAACATTTCGGTTTTCAATTCAGTGCCAAGTTATGAAGTACTTTGCTATTTTTTAACTTTACTTTTTCCAACGACAGAGCAGCTGTTAGTGCAATGCTATGTTATAATATTATGTTGAAATAATAATGCACTAGCTTTACTGTTATTTGTGTTTTATTATCTCTTAGTGATTGACAGTCTTAGCTCCATGATGTTTCTTTCACTGTGTTCCGATATGCAATGCAAATATTGGATACTTTCCTTTAAAAAGTATCCCAAAACAAAACATTCCTTCCTTTTTCCATATAAGCCATTAAGTGATTTGTCTAAATAAATTTATCTCAGGAGTCTTTAGAAAGTGCTTGAGAAAAGCATCAAAGCAAAGCACGCAAGGACTCCCTGTCTGAGGGAATGATGACTTTATGCAGAACTGTCAAAGCAACACTGCCTCGTAAATACGTTATACGTGGGGAAAATGACGAAAATCCCTTACAAATGTTTGCCGGGACTTGAACCGGAATCAAATTACCAGCGTTCAGAGGTCTTATCTATCCGCCCCCAGATGGGCTCTTGTTAGGATAAAAACCTTAAATGCTTTATCATAACGAATAAAGCAAACTAGTTATCTTCAAATAATATATGCATTACCTGTAACGTTTATGTAGAAATCTTCTGTTACTTACTTTTGCAACATACATTTTAATCTCCTCCTCATTAGAAAAGTCTGTAGATATCTTACCATTTTTCGCGTTGCCTTACATTTACGGTGCCCATTCGCCGTACGCTCCTTACGCTATCACGTCATGATCTGACAACTTATCGGTTTTACGAGCTTTTGCCACGACTAGTTATTTTTCTTTCAAATTACAACAGTACCTTATTCATGAAATCAGTGAGCGATTTCAAAACAACGTATCTATTTTTAAATAATATTATTAATGTTTATACCTTTTGTATAATCAATAGAAGACATATATAGTGCCGCATATATAGCAGAAGAAGAAGCTTTACTATATCTTTCCTAAAGCCAATTTTTATTTTAAAAAACTATTGCAGCCATAATCATTTGTTTATTTCTGCGTAAATTGCTTCCGTATCATTTTTCACAAACTCGTAAAACTTTCTTTGTCTATATTTACATTTTTAGGCCTAATTCTGTATCCAATAATCATTTTATGACCTCCTTCTTGACAAATAAGATGCCCCATTGCTGGATGCCTCTATGAAAGATTGTGTAACTGAGATGGAAAATTGGAGTAATTTTAAAATCAAATCATAGCTTATTCTGATACCAAGACAGAAAATGAATAAGCTGTAATACGTATTTTTTGTTGGTGTTGTTGTAGTTGCGTAAGCTGTATCAAGCAAAGTGTTAATTTTTATGTTGTATGATCGCGTATACGCCATAATAAATGTGAAATTTACTGAATGCAGCACTTTCTTTTTCATTTTTATCAGGAGCCATACCATTTACAGGAGAAAGTATGAGCTTGAAGTTCAAATCTGATGCCAAAAATGAAAGACCGGGATTCTCTATCCTTGTGCAACAACTTGAGAATTGTGTTGAAATTCACAGATCTGGTAATTCTTTTCTCAGTAATCTTATATTTGTACATCAGCTTGAGGACTATGTTGAAATCAACAGACCTAATCAACCTTACTCAATAACTCACAGCTGTATAAAAACTAGAGGATTCTGTTGCAATTTAGAGATCCAATTAATTCTTTATCTGTAACTCTGTAAGAAACTCATGTTTTCTGGTGTATTTAACATGTCCAGAAAATCCGTTTTTAATAAATTTATAACGCCATACTTGTGTAACAACTCGAGAATCGTGTTGAAATTCACCACATAATACTTTTTCAGCTATTAATAATAATACACGATTGTGTTTCAGGGTCTTTAACACTTCATATTTAGAGTGATTCGGGTTTTCGTTGGGCTCATTAGGAAGCTTGAAAAACATGCAATGCCTTCACCAGGGCTTGAACTCCGAACCTTCCAATTACTAGAGGGACGTGCTTTCCAATTACACTGGGAAGGTAAGCGGTAAAGAGGGAGAAAATACATCACGCATGACTATAAAAGATATCATACAGGAATTAGCTGATGATTAATTAAGCCTGCTTTTAAGGTGCGCTTTTATGTTGCATCAATGTTAGTATTTTGAATTATCTGCAGTTACTATTTTAAATTTATAATGTTAGTCATTTTTACATTTAAATACGCTTTCTCTCTTCTCCACAGCCATCGTTTTCTGTATTCTGCAGGTAGCAATCCCATTTTATTTACAAATAAATCCAAATATCGACGTGTATTATGCTGTTTCGACCTAAATTTGTTCTGCAGTTGTGGAATTTTAGTAAATAAAAATCTATTGATAATAATTTTTCCATGCATATTCATTTTCTATCAACAGATTTGTTATTTAATTTTTCTCCGAATTTTATATGTAAAGATGAATGAATTAAAGTGTAAAGAATATTTTAACAATTTCAATTATATTTTTATAGACCCCTATAAAAGGAGCGTTGAAATTCTTGAAGCGTTCAAATTGTTCCAGACTCAGAATCTCAACTACAGTTTATGCGTGTTTCAAGGGACCATTAACAAATGACATATAAATCAGAAAGACGTATAAACAGAATTTGAAATTGCGACATGATACATGAAACATATATATATATTAAATTGCACGATTTTGGTACTACTAACCTGCTACTGATATTACACAATTTTATTATCGTTCTTTCAATTTCTTTAAGATATTAACTACGTTTAAAGAAATTTAAATTAATACTTTAAATAAATATTTTATTAGTATTAGTATTTTAAACTGTTTAACACTTTAAACAATTTTTTATAATTAATATTTTAAGAATAATATTAATATAAATTTAATATTTTTAAAATCACAAGAATTCAAATTTCTGTATTTAGTTATGTAAAATTGTGAAAAGAAGTCATACCTTTATTTGAATTACTATTTTGAATACGTGACCATTTTCCCAATAACATTTTAAAGCAAAAGTTCAGTTTTCATTCAGTGAAGCATTCAGTTCTTGTTCACACAAAAACATTTCTGAGGGTGTAAAGCACTATTTGAAAAGAAGATGGGTTTATTTCTTCATTTTCTTCTTCATCTCCGCTACTTAAATTTTCACCTGGAAACATGTTTTCAATCAGTTTTTCAACTGTACATAATGACGTCAGTGTATTGGCATCACAGTTTACGTATTCCTCGATTGTAATGTGTAATCCAAGTACCTTCCAATCTTCTTCATCCATAATCACAGTTTACTTTGCTCAAGTCCTTGACGATTGTCACATTTGAAAACTAGGGTTTTTGCAGACATAAATTTAAAGAGAAAAATAGTAATTTCTTCAAAATTAAAAGTATGTTTTAATTCAGATCCATCTATTTTGGTGGATAAATTCTTGAACCACTCTTTAACCGACTCAGCAAGAACATTTTGGTTTTCCATCTATTATATGACATGAGATTTTGAATTTATGCAACCATCCAGTAGAAAAGCAAGCTTCCTTCACACTCAGTCGAAATGGTATTTCTTTTGACTTCTCGATTAACATGGGACCATTGACTTGAATACTAGATGCACGACACTGAATGAAAACGTTTAGTAAAATGGCTTCGACCTTAAAAAACAGTCATTTTTGAACACGTAGTTTCTTTGAAATGGACTGTCCACAAATTTCTGCCATTTTTTCAACTTTTTTTTATCATAAACAACTGTTTTTTGTGTAGTCACTGGAGCAACTCTTGCTTTCGTCAAACCAGTATTCTCATCAAATTCTTTTAAGGCCTGAATTTTATCTTTTAACGAGAGTGCCGTTTGCTTTCTTGACATTTAGTATCAGTGAATTCTACTTCATCTAGTTTATTTAACGCAGCGTCCTGTTCAGAAGGAAAAAAAAAAACATATCTGTTTTTCGCTCCAAAACTCCTTTACTCATGAACTGGTCTTCCACTCTTGTACTAGACTGTGATGTCTCATGTCTTTGTTTCTTTCTCTACCTATCTCTGGAAAAATACTTGAAAGACGTGACACCGAAATGTAAACCCAGTGCAGTAAGTCAAACAAAACGGACGTTAGCCAAAGTTATGCGATGTATAAAAAATATTTTACTATTAAAATAAATATGACTGAATTTGAAACGACGTATAAATGTAAAAGACGTTCTAGAGTTCCTCACTTTGGAATTCTAAGTTAATGTTGGAAGTGAAGAATCTAAGAACTGATAAGCGTATAATCGCTTGAGTTGGCGGTGACAAGAAACAAAAGATAGAAGGAACTACCTTTATTAGCATAGATTTAACAAAACTTGCTGGAGTGTACCAAGCAAAGCCCGCATACTTGATCTGAACTTAAAAGACTAAGAATTAAACTCAGAAACAAGATTAACCTAAAGATATAGGAGCCGAAGCTATCAGGTTCAAATCGTAGTTGCGCCGTAACTTATTTGACTACAATGGCTTAGCAAGGGCCTGAGTACGGCCGAGCGTAAGTACCGGCTTGAGAGAGAGAGTGGGCGCAAAAAGGGCAGACGCACGTAAATCAGAACTCTGTATTGTCTCTGACTCAGTAAGTAACTTCGTGGTTTGAATATACCGCTCTACCCGTGCTCCGCGCTACACTCCTCATTAGATATTCAGCAAGTTTTCAAACTACGTTCTGGCGCGAAGAGTAGTAATGTTGAAGTTGCAAATTTGACGTAAAATGGACTTTAACTTAAAATTTAACTGTTAATAAAATTAACATAATCCATACAACGTATAAGCGAGAAAAGTATAAAAGGTGCTCCACGGTATTTTAATATATATTTTTTCCTACCTTATTTTAAGAAACTTTCTATCTGAAAATACATTTCTGTGTTCCAGTGTTTATAATGATATAATAATGTTTATAGTTATTTTTTGCAGGCACCGAAAGTGTGTGCTCGTTGCCTTCGCACACGTTACAAATGGTGTGTAAAATGTGTTACATATGTATATATATAGTTCAGCTTCTCCTCGGTGAATGGAAGAACAGGTGGAATGTAGTCACGAAAGAAAAGTTAATTTACTCTTTTTTCTTGAAATTCGATTACACTCTATTAAGCATAAAGTTGTCTCCGAAGTTGCTTTAGGTTTAATAGCTTTTCTGTACTACCTCGCTGTGATCTAAATGAGACAGAACAGCTCTAGTGCGGGAACATAGGAAGTACCGAATCAGTTTTGACCTTCATGTGTCCAAGACCTCAACAAGCCAGCTCCAGCTATTTTTCAAACTTGAACTGAAGATTCTATCACAAAAGCAACGTCACAGAGTAAAATTATGGATGCAACTCGCTTTCCTCAGTTTAAAAGTGGACCACTGCAAGCTAAGGACTGCAATATTTCACATGCCAATGTGTAACTGCCACCTTACATTGTCAGGACTGCTGTTCCTTCTAATTGCCTTTGAAACATGTACTAATTCTGAATGGGAGAAGGGAGCTTACTCAAACTATGCGCGTAAGTGTGTAGGAGAAACAACACCACCAAGAAGGGTTAACTTTACTCTTTATTTTTCACAGCGCACAGTCGCTCCCGCAACTCGGCATACAGAGACCAGCACTTATGGTCTAAAACGTAGAAAATAAAAAATAAACTAACTTAATAAGATCTAAATAAATAAAAACCAAAGCTACATGCTTTACAGAGACTAGTAACGCAAAGATTGGCTTGTTGACACTACGTATGTAGTCAGCGAAATACAAAACTACAATAAGGCTTCCAATATCAGTGGGAACTGAGTTCTGGGCTTAAAGGCAGACATGAACTGACTGAAAAGCACGCGCGTGTTAAGGCAGCAAGAAGTCTCTCTCTCTCTTCTTGGTTAAAAGCCACATCTTAAATACTACCTATACAGTTTGCAACCTCATTAGCATAAACAATTCTCCTCGCGCTTATTCTGGCCGGAAATGGAAAATTAGAGAGGATAGCAAAGTTTTAAAATAAAATAAAACTTAGTAAAACTTAAAATCCTTACAACATAACCACTACACTTACCTTACCTTACACTTACCATAACCTTACAACATGACACACACTGCTCTCACATAGATTATACAAATCTAAACCACTTTTCTGTGCCAGTTTTGCCAAACTACGCAACAGCACTGGTGTACGAACAGCTTTGCTAATATCTGTAAGAGTCCCAGTTTATCCTTGCAAATTTACTTCTTTAAACTGATCACGAGTGCTGTCTGGTTTTTCTGTCCAGCATAGGGGCGGCTGTGATATGTTAGGCAACAGTTATTGTTTGTTGCGAGTGTCAACAAAGTCTGTTTCGTTTACCATAAAAATCAGAAGCCATCCCGACTCTGTACAAGAGTCATGTACAAAGCTAAGAGGACGAATAGATGCAGAGATATGAAGCTTGAATACATGATTTTGTAGACACAGAGGAAAGAGGATATTTGTTGCTGCGGATGAAATTTATACAGCTACTGTTACTTCCTGTTATGATTAAGAAAAAAGTAAAGAACAAAGAGTTCGGTTGATGATACACGTATGGCTCTTATGGTCTTATGGCTCCTGTATACTTCTTATGGATTCTATACACTTATGGCCTCTTATGGTCCTCTAGAGCCTAGACTAAACAGAAACTTATTTAATTTTCATATAATAATCTAATTGAATAATGAGTAAATCACTATCTTTTTCAGCATCTTTAGTCGGAAAATGTGCTCATGAATTCTCGGCGGAGACGTTCTTGCTTCAAAGCCCCGATTTTCCAGAGGAGTATCCAGCTGATGCTACCTGTGAGTACCGGATAAAACGCCGAACTCCGGCCCACTGCCGCTTAGAGCTTCGTGTTTTGAGCTTCGACCTAGAGGAAGGCACAGACGGTCGTTGCGATGCTGACCACTTGGAACTTCCAGCTGGTTATAAGTTGTGCGGTCAGCTGCCCAAAGACCACACAGGTAAACACTCTGCTGTTTCTATGGTGCTTTTATATGGTGCGAGGGTTTTATGCCTAAAATGACATTTTTCTATTGTGCGAGTACTATCTGCCTAAAATGACATTTTTCTTTGGTGCGAGTATGGTCATTTTAGGCAGATATATCTGCCTAAAATGACAGCTTCTTATATGGAAAAAGGATTGAAAGCTTGTTTTCTATAGGAAACTGCTCTGTATTTATGTTATAAACGTAGAACATGAAGAAATTCGAATGCAACCATGCTCTTAAAACGTCGGGTTTCTTTGGATTATCACAAAGGGATAGATGTTTATGAGCTGCAATGCCTTTGTAGAGGATTTTCTAAGGAAACTGTCCCTTATTTATGTTACACGTGAGGAAAAACCCCGAAACTTTCATGGAATAGCTTATTCAAGGTTCGGGAAGAGAAACTAGGGAATCTGCTAGTGTTTTATTGGCTTAATATAATCGGTTACTGCTGTCCTTACGAAGAAAGTTGACAATAAAAAAGTATAAAATTTAGTTAGATGCTTTAAAGCTTTAAAATAAAATTAGGCAATTTATGCAGGTGACTTTTATACAGCTGCTTAATCCTAACTGAGCCACTCAGACCGATACGTCCCATTTATGGCGGCGCGGTAACGCTCAAAGAAAAGCATTCATACTTTCAGCTGAGTTTTGTTCTTAGTAATTTAACGGTCTAACTGAGGTTTTCCACATTTATAACTCGAATACGACATAAATTCCTTTCCCCGATGTCATATCATTATATAAGTATTGTTGATGCTCCATTAAACAGGTAGCTTTTAGGATTTCTATCGTAATGAAATAGTCGGGTAAAATAATCAACCACTGTGCTGAGCTCAACGACATATTTTGACTTGGAAGAAGGATAAAATAAAGAATTTCGAGGTTTGCGACGAAAATGCGCATCGATTTCTCATATAAAATCTTTATAAGATGACATTCTTCTCATTTGGCTCAGGCCCTCGATTATATTTCAGTCGAACCAGATCAATCAATCAATTAGTTGTAAAGGTTAACGCATAGTTAACATTTTGAGTTAAATAGTGAATAATAATTTTTACTTCATTATTTATTTTTGACGTTCTTAACCTTAAATACAAATATAGAATTGGCCCACCAGCGGCCGAGCGAAGTCGCTGAACACTGGTAGTTCGGTCTGAGCTTCGAATCCCGGGAACGGCTTCTGCATGGGCTTTTCGGTGTTCCCATGTGTAACGTTATACGACCAGTTCGCCCTAAAGTCTCCACGAAGGCATCCCTCCCCTTAGGCAGATAGCCCTAATGTGCTTTGTCATAATTAAATACACCACACCACACCAAATATAGAATTACGTTTATATTATGCTTGTACATAATCTTTGCCAAATGGTGGTCGATGTTAACCTGAACCCGGTAATGTTATATAGCCTGTGTTCTATCTAGGGAATTTTCCATAGCTCTTGCTTTACGCAGTCGTATGGCTCGTGGCTTATTTGTGTATGCCTCTTATTTAAAGTGGCACCTGAGTGAAAATGTCTGCAGCTGTTAAATCGGGAGTTCGTGATAGAGAGATAAAATTAGAAAATCGGGAAATTATGTGATTACCAGAATTTTACTTAAGAAAGCCGTTGTTTATCACTGAAAATGTTGAACCATTCAGTTAATTTATAGAGTACTAGACATCAAAGGATCAAAGGAGACATCAAAGAAGTTGCAGTCCATTCGTTACATGAAAATCATGTTGTATTAATTGTAATCATGTTTTCAAAGTATTAAACCTGAACAGTTTTTGTCTCATGTTTTGTGGTCAACGTTTTTATCATAAAATCTCCAAGTGTTGGCTGTACAATCAAAAAAAAAATTACAGAGAAAATTATTTACTAAAATCGTAAAGCTAAATAAATATAAGTCGCCTTTATACTAAGAAATCATAGCAAGAAGTCAGAATAGCAAAGTAAAGAGAACTTAAAGTAAAAAAAAATATATATAAGAGAAAACATGTAACACTTTTCACTCTCTCTCATTGAAAGTACTGTGGTAAAATGTTTCTGTGTATTAATAATAAACCAGTGTTTTAATATATTTTAAAGTATTTGGAATTCTTTAACCCTTTTCCGGCAGGCTACTTTTTAAAATTGGAGTTTTGATAAAACAAAAAAAAAAAAAAAAAAAAGGCAGTCTATAGGCCTAGAGAGTACACATAAAATTTGTGAAGATAGCACTTATCGTTTTACTTCTGTGGATGTCCAATTTGTGAAGGTAACACTTATCGTGTTAATTCTGTGTGTGGCCCAAAGTGGCACACTGATTGAATAGAGCTTCGAAAAGAGTGCTGAAACGAGCATTGTTTCATGAATGACCATGAGATGCGGAAAAACAAAATACAGACTCTCAGATGTCCTCGATATCGGAGCCGGGCGGGCACACTAGGTCGCCGTTTGATTTTAGCATGATTTCAAGGTAAAAATTTAAACTATATAGAATAGGAGATTAGCCTAAATCAAATTAATTAAATACAACCAAAAAATACATAAATTTATTCACATTCCTTTATGCCATTAAAATATCTGAGAATCTTTGAAAAAATGAGGGTCTTAAAAACTAAACATGCCTAAAATATATGACTGGTGTGTTGACTGCATCTCATGTAATAAGAAGGTGCAGAGTAACTATAGTAACTTTAATCCTTTTTCATTCATTTTTCTGTGCGTAGAAGAATTTTTGGTGTTCAGACCGGACACACTGTGCCGCAAAGGGTTAACATCATCATTACTTCTTGAATACTGATATAGAAAGTAAAATCAATTTGTTTATCATTTTGAAATTTGCAAAAGAAAAATGCGAGTCATCTACTATAAATAGTAAAACAATAATGCACCAAGTTTATCATACAATCAGTACAAATTTCAGCATAAAAAATAATTGGTCAAAAGTCAAGAATTGTCTATCAGTAAAATTATCTGCTTTATATTCAAATTAAGTGGCTGAGTGGCATTAATGATTACACGAGTGCTTCTCTGCATCTTCTTAATCGATATTTCTTCATCAATCAATCTTTTAATCTGTAGATCCCAAAGGCCATAAACAAATTCCATAGTTTATAATGTTATCTTTGATAGCTTACCTTTGTTTTCATTATTATGATTTATTTCTTAAGAAGTGGAAATTATTTTAAGTAGTAAAAACACCAAGATAAATCATTGCGAGAGCTAGTTCAAGATTTTTCTTTCTTGGAACCAAGCCGCTTTCGACACGAAGTTCTAAAGAAAACCCCACCTAATTTTCTACGTATTATTAATTTTTTTTAAAGGAACCAGTTCTTTTCCCTTACGTGGAATGATGGGAAGAACCGGAAAAAATAAAAGAAAGGAAATCTCGTTTTACTAATTCGCGGATAATGTATTGTAAGACGTAATGATTGATTTCACGAAATGATCTGCATAATGCATTATTCGTATTTTTCGTTTCGTGTGTATGAAAAACACCACTTTTGTATGCTAAAATATTCATATTAAGAAAATAACAGAATGTTAAAAGTATTTTTAGTTACCAAGGCACTGAATAAACAAAGAAATTTCGGGGCATACCGGTTATGCGTATATGCGATCGTCGTCGACAATGTTTTTGGAGGAAAACACACTTGAAGTGTTCGGATGTTGCATTTTATCATTTTCTCGCCTGAAGTAGGTTTCGTACCTTATAAGGTATTTCTCCCGCCTTCTTAGTATGCCTTCGGGGTGTAGTCGCCAGCACGCTCGGCGCGTATTCGAGAGGTCCGTGATTCGATTCCCGGCGAGGGCATTTTTCATCTCTCTTGCTTTGAAATAAACTAATATCTCTACAACTTACTTAATTTCCATGACTAGAAAAAGAAAAGAAAAATGAGAAGAAGATAGAGCTACTTTAAATACGTGGTCCTTATAATAACACGTTCGAGGCAGAGGCATTTTTGCATCCTGGGCTGAAGGCCACCTTAGTGGCTTTTAATATGATATTAGTGCTAGAAACGAGCTTGTTTGAATTATGTTTTCAGCATTTCACACCCTATGAAGCTTAGTGCGTTGAACTACTACTTGTATGACCTGCCTTTTAATCCAAAGCTGCTTACAACGTTAAAAATATATGAGATTTGCATTATGCCAAGAATCCATGACAGAATCATTTTGCTTAGGGTGAGTTAACTTAAAAATCAGTCAAAAATTTTTCTAAAAATGAGACAGCATTTTAAACATAATCGAAAGACACCGATTTCCTTTGAAATGCCCTCATATTGCTTCTTAACTAGGTTTTAAACTCTGAAAGTTTAGGACATTTCTTGTAATCTTTAATTTTCATTGGCGGTCGTATATCTTGAGATTTGAGTTTTTAGGGTGCCAAATTTATTCTTATTAACTACCATATTGGGAATTGTCATTACATTTAGATCAGCTATCATTTTATAATTCTCTAAAAATTAGCAATGTTAAAAAAAAACTGAGGCAATGGTTCTTTAAAAACGAGATTGTTAAAATGTATTAAATCATAAACTAAAATTTTGGTTAAAATTTGTTGTTGCTGAAAGCTCGATCTAAGTATGTTAGTAAAGGAAAGACGTGTCAAGTAAGTTATGTTCGCACCATCGGTGATTCTGGAGTGTTCTGAAACTCTAGTTACGTGATAGAAATTGGTAATTTTTTCCTAATGTTTCTTAGGATAAGAAAAAAAATTATTTTGTATTTTGCCTTGACAGCGGTTTCTAGTGGTGTATACCGAGCAAGAAGAGCGTCAGATACAGGAAGTGTCCACAATAATCAAAATACTATGATTAAAAAATGTTAATTTCTTTCTGTCGATTACACTGTAAACAGTGAAAATAAGCACCACTTTTCTGTATGATTATTTTAATTTTCAAATATGGCAGATTTAAATTTTTTGGTTTAAAAACTTAGTTAACAACAACGGAAATGAACTGCTTGACTAAATTAGGTGGTAGAGATCATTGCCCATCTTCGGAATTT